TGAGACAAAGGACTTTTGTCAGTTGGGCTAGGTGTGAATTTTCAACTGACCACCTTGATTAGCATACAATGGGCTGACTGTGCCTGGAGCAAACTCTTCTTGAAGGTATTAGATGTCCCTGCCTGTTTCCTCTCTGTTGTTGTGCTGTTGCAATTTTAGAGTTTTTTAATACTGGTAGCCAGATTTTGTTCATTTTCATGGTTTCCTCCTTTCTGTTGAAATTGTCCACGTTTGTGTATTTCAATGGGTTCTCTCTGTAGTCTGACATGGTGGTTGTGAGAGTGGTCCAGCATTTCTGTGTTCTCAGATAAAAAATTGCAACAGCAAAAACAGCAGAGAGGAAACAGGCAGGGACATCTAATTACCTTTCAAGAAGAGTTTGCTCCAGGCACAGTCAGCCCATTGTATGCTAATCAAGGTGGTCAGTTGAAATATTCACATCTAGCCCAACTGACAAAAGCCCTTTGTCTCACCCTGGTCATTCCACAGATATATAAACCCTTTTGCCTAGTTCCAACAGACCTCACCTCTGAGGATGCTTGCCATAGATGCAGGCGAAACGTCAGGAGAAATGCCTCTAGAACATGGCCAAATAGCCCGAAAAAACCCACAAGAACCTAATAATAATAATATTAATAATCAACTCTTTAGACCATATGCGTTTCTGCACAGAAGGCAACATTCCATCATAATAATACTAGTAATAATATATTAATTTATTATTTTTAATATATTTTATTTATTACCCAGATCTCTTGGTATTTCCAAAACAACTGGACTAGACTACTCTGTGCAATTCTAATATTGCACTCTATATCTGACAGTGCAAAGGTTAAGTATTGTGGCCGGTAGTGTATAATCCTATGATTGAAATCCACCCTTTAGCCGTAAACTAATGGCAGGCTGCCTCTAGCGGAGATCCCTCAAAGTGGCCCAGATGGAATAGAAGGCAATGCAGCCTTGGAAGGCTTGCATGCATTATTCCATCCATTTAAGGAAAGCTGAGCTATGGCCTGATGCTCTTCCATTCTGTTGGACTACAATTCCCATCCTCCACAAATAACAAGCATAATAGTTATGCTGGTTGGTGGGGCCCAGTATCAATTACTCCTTCCTTCCTTCTCCTTCTTTCCTCTTTTCCCTCCCTTTCTCTCTTCGTCCCTCCCTCTTTTCCTTCTTCCTTCTTTTCCTTCCTCCTTCTTTCCTTTTCTCACTTTTTCTCTTTTCCTTCCTCTTCCTTTCTCCTTTCTTTCCTTTTGTCTTCCTCCGTCCCTTTCTCCCTTCTTTCTTTACTTCCCTTTCCTTCTTTTTTCCCTCCCCCATTCCTTCTTTTCCTTCTTTCCTCCCCCTTTCTCCTTTTCTTCCTCTCTTTCTCCCTCCTTTTTCCGACCCCTTCCCTCTTTTTCCTTCCTTCTTTCCCTTCTTTCCTTCCTTCTTTCCTCCCTCCCTCACTTTTTCTTTTCCACTCTCCCCCCCTTTCTCCCTTTTTTCCTTCCTTCCTTCCTTCCCCTTCCTTCCTTCCTTCCTTCCTTCCTTCCTTCCTTCCTTCCTTCCTTCCTTCTTTTTCTTTCTCACTCACTCCCTTTCTTCTTTCTCTCTCAATTTCCTTCTTTCTTTCCCTCCTTCCTTCCTTCTTTCTTTTTTCCCTCCCTTCCTTCCTTCCTCCTTCCTTCCTTCTTCCTTCCTTTCCTTCCTTCCCTTCCTTCCTTCCTTTCCTTCTTTCCCCTTTTTCCTTTTCTTCCTCTCTTTCTCCCTTCTTTTTCCTTCCTCTTCCTTCTTTTTCCTTCCTTCTTTCCTCCTTCTTTCCTCCCTCCTTCTTTTTCTCCTCCCTCCTTTTCTCCCTTTTTTTTCCTTCCTTCTTCCTCTCTTTCTTTCCTTTCCTTCCTTCTCCCTTCCTTTTCTTTCTTCTTTCCTCCCTCCCTTTCTCCTTCTCTTCCTGTCTTCCTCCCTCCTTCTTCCCCCTTTTTTTCCTTCCTTCTTCTTTTTCCTTTTTCCTCCTTCTTTTCCTCCTTCCATTCCTCTCCTTCCCTCCTTCCCTTTCTCCCTCCCTTCTTTCTTTCCTTTCCTTCTTTTTTTCCCCTTTCCCTTTCTTCCTTTCTTTCTCCCTTCTTTTTCCTTCCCTTCCTTCTTTTTTCTTCTTCTTTCCTTCTTTCTTTTTCTTTCCTCCTTCTTTTTTTTTTCCTTTCCTTTTTTCCTTCCTTCCCTTTCTTTCTTTCTTTCTTTCTTTCTTTCTTTCTTCTTTCTTTCTTCTTCCTTCCTTCCTTCCTTCCTTCCTTCCTTCCTTCCTTCTTTCTTTCCTTCCTTCTTTCTTTTCTCCTTCCCTTCCTTTCTCCTTCCTCTTCCTGTCTTCCTCCCCTCTCTTTCCTCCCTTCCTTTCTTCTTTCTCTCCCTTTTCTCCTTCCTTCCTTCCTTCTCTTCCTTCTTCCCTCCTTTTCCCCCCTTCCTCCCTCCCTCCTTTTCCCCTTCTTTTCTTCCCTTCCTTCCTCCTTTTCTTCCCTTCTTCCTCCCTTTCCCCCTTCCTTCCTTCCTTCCTTCCTTCCTTCCTTCCTTCCTTCCTTCCTTCCTTCCTTCCTTATTTCTTCCTTCCGTCCTTGCTTTGAACTGGAATATATGTCAGTGTGGACTCAGATTGCCTAGTTGGAAGCAGATATTGCAGGATTTTCTGCCTTGATATTCTGGGTTATATGACTTTCTTTCTTTCTTTCTTTCTTTCTTTCTTTCTTTCTTTCTTTCTTTCTTTCTTTCCCTTTCTTTCCTCCTTTGAAGTCCTTCCTTCTTGGTTCTTTTGCAAAGACCAGGCCTTGTGCAGTTAATGTTTAACTCTTTCTCCTTCTTCTGAGGAAATAGCTTCTCCTTCCTATGACGAGGCAACCATGCGCTCCGACCACAGCACCACCGGAATCCGAATGCGCAACCATTTGATAAAATAGGCCTGGAAGACAACTTGGCTCAGGAAAACACTCCCAAAGGCCCCTGAAGGTAAGTCACCAGGATTAGCCCTCCTTTGTGGATAGAGCAAGAATGAGGGATACATGATATATATGATAATGCAGACGTGTGCATGCTTTTGGGCATGTTCACAACAACCCTGCGAGGTAGGTGGCTCTTATTGCATCCATTTAATAGATACGAATCTTTCAATTTTTCCAAAAGGAAGCTTCACCATTCATTCCTAACACCTTTGCTATATTTGTGATGTATTGACAAGCACTATAGAGCAGGCGTGGGCAAACTTGGGCCCTCCAGGTGTTTTGGACTGCAACTCCCACAACTCCTAACAAGCCCTATGAGGAGTGGCTTAAAGAGCTGGGGGTGCTTAAGCCTGAAGAAGCCGCACTCATTCTGCAGCGTGGATGAAAGAGTGATATTGACAAGCTGGAATGTGTCCAGAGGAGGGTGACTCAAATGATCCAGGGTCTGGAGAACAAGCCCTATGAGGAGCGGCTTAAAGAGCTGGGCATGTTTAAGCCTGAAGAAGCCGCACTCATTCTGCAGCGTGGATGAAAGAGTGATATTGACAAGCTGGAATGTGTCTAGAGAAAGAGGGCGACTGAAATGATCAAAGGTCTGGGGAACAAACCCTATGAGGAGTGGCTTAAAGAGCTGGGGATGTTTAAGCCTGAAGAAGCCGCACTCATTCTGCAGCGTGGATGAAAGAGAGATATTGACAAGCTGGAATGTGTCCAGAGAAGGGCAACTCAAATGATCAAAGGTCTGGGGAACAAGTCCTATGAGGAGCGCCTTAAAGAGCTGGGGATGTTTAGCATGCAGAAGAGAGGAGACATGATAGCCATGTATAAATATGTGAGAGGAAGTCATGGAAAGGAGGGAACAGGTTGTTTTCTGCTGCCCTAGAGACTAGGACGCAATGGAAGAATGGTTTCAAACTACAAGAGAGGAGATTCCATCCGAACATTAGGAAGACCTTCCTGACTGTGAGAGCTGTTCAGCAGTGGAACTCTCTGCTCCAAAGTGTGGTGGAGGCCCCCTCTTTGGAGGCTTTTAAACAGAGGCTGGGTGGGTTGTTGTAGGTTTTTCAGGTTGTATGGCCATGTTCTAGAAGCATTCTCTCCTGACGTTTCGCCTGCATCTGCGACAAGCATCCTCAGAGGTTGTTGGAAACTGGAAAGTTGGGTTTATATATCTGTGGAATGTCCAGTGTGCCTATGACTGTCTATTTGCAAATCCAAAGAAGACCCTTCTACCAAAGACGATGCGCCTGGAAAACCAGTATGGATGTCATAGAATCCTAGAATCCTAGAGCTGGAAGAGATCTCATGGGCCATCCAGTCTAACCCCTTGCCAAGAAGCAGGAATATTCCATTCAAAGCACCCCTGACAGATGGCCATCCAGTCTCTGTTTAAAAGCCTCCAAAGAAGGAGCCTCCACCACAATCAAGGGCAGAGAGTTCCACTGCTAAATGGCTCTCACAGTGAGGAAGTTCTTCCTAATGTTCAGATGGAACCTCCTTTCTTGTAGTTTGAAGCCATTGTTCCATTGCGTCCTAGTCTCCAGGGAAGCAGGAAACAAACTCCCTCCCTTCTCCCTATAACTTTCTCTCACAGATTTATACATGGCTATCATGTCTCCCCTCAGCCTTCTCTTCCTCAGGCTAATCATGCCCAGCTCCTTAAGCCGCTCCTCATAGGGCTTGTCCTCCAGACCCCTGATCATTTTAGTCGCCCTCCTCTGGACACTTTCCAGCTTGTCAATAACTCTCTCCAATTGTGGCGTATTGACAAACACTATAGAGGCTGGATGGCCATCTGTCGGGGGTGCTTTGAATGCATTTTTCCTGCTTCTTGGAAGAATGGGGTTGGACTGGATGGCCCATGAGGTCTCTTCCAACTTTAGGATTCTATGATTGTCTTTGATAGAAGGGCCTTCTTTGGATTTGCAAACAGACAGTTATAGCTGCAACCATTACAATGTTGCATTTAATGCAGTTTGGCACTCCATGCAACAGAGTCCTGGGAATTTTGCAATTCTGCCTTTTTTGCCAAGTTTCCACGGCATCGACCAGCGGCAATTAAAGTGGAACCAGACCGCATGAATTCTGCAGTGTGGATGAAAGGAGATCTCTGGCACGCGAAAAGGGCCTAGGCAACGGGGAGAGCAAAGGTCACGTTGCCGTTGCTGCCGGCTTTTGTGCCGAGCTGCGAAACTCCCCGATGGCAAACTGTGCACAAAGGCAAACTGTGCAAAGAGGCACGGAAGGAGGAGAAGGAGGAGCCCAAAGGGACGGGCACAACAAGGGGAACGGCCAGCCGGAACAGCAAGACGACAAGCAAGGGGACAGGTGCTTCCAGACAGGTAAGACGTCCTTGTCTTTCCCAAAGGGTACAGAAAGCTTGGCCGTGTTTACAAGTCGAGCAGGAAGGCAGGACTCCAAGCAGAAAGGGGAAACCATTCATTCGAGTGTCGTGAGCACTGAAGTGACCTGAAACTATGACCGTGCCTCTTTTCTCATGCGTCGCTTTCGGCCTATTTAAAGAGGTGCGCCGTGGCTTGAGAAAGTCCCCCATGCTTTGCAATCTTTGACCTTGCCGTTGGAAGGATACATACGCATCAGGAAGGACGTTTGGGCGCTCCAGGATGTTTGGGTGCTCCATCATTGAATGTGTACGTATAAGTCGGAACAGGTGCATTTTCATCAGGAAGGGCGTTTGGGTGCTCCGTCTACATTGCCGTCCCCAAGTTCTGCAGGTTTGTTCTTAAGTTGAATGTGTATGTAAGTCAGAACAGGTGCATTTTCATCAGCTTGGGTGCTCCATCTACATTGCCGTCCCCAAGTTCTGCAGGTTTGTTCTTAAGTTGAATGTGTATGTAAGTCGGAACAGGTGCATTTTCATCAGGAAGAACATTTGGGTGCTCTGTCTACATTGCCATCCCCAAGTTCTGCAGGTTTGTTCTTAAGTTGAATGTGTATGTAAGTCAGAACAGGTGCATTTTCATCAGCTTGGGTGCTCCGTCTACATTGCCGTCCTCAAGTTCTGCAGGTTTGTTCTTAAGTTGAATGTGTATGTAAGTCAGAACAGGTGCATTTTCATCAGCCTGGGTGCTCCGTCTACATTGCCGTCCCCAAGTTCTGCAGGTTTGTTCTTAAGTTGAATGTGTATGTAAGTCAAAACAGGTGCATTTTCATCAGCCTGGGTGCTCCATCTACATTGCCATCCCCAAGTTCTGCAGGTTTGTTCTTAAGTTGAATGTGTATGTAAGTCAAAACAGGTGCATTTTCATCAGCTTGGGTGCTCCGTCTACATTGCCATCCCCAAGTTCTGCAGGTTTGTTCTTAAGTTGAATGTGTATGTAAGTCAAAACAGGTGCATTTTCATCAGCCTGGGTGCTCCGTCTACATTGCCGTCCCCAAGTTCTGCAGGTTTGTTCTTAAGTTGAATGTGTATGTAAGTCAAAACAGGTGCATTTTCATCAGCTTGGGTGCTCCATCTACATTGCCGCCCCCAAGTTCTGCAGGTTTGTTCTTAAGTTGAATGTGTATGTAAGTCGGAACAGGTGCATTTTCATCAGCTTGGGTGCTCCATCTACATTGCCGTCCCCAAGTTCTGCAGGTTTGTTCTTAAGTTGAATGTGTATGTAAGTCAGAACAGGTGCATTTTCATCAGCTTGGGTGCTCCATCTACATTGCCGCCCCCAAGTTCTGCAGGTTTGTTCTTAAGTTGAATGTGTATGTAAGTCGGAACAGGTGCATTTTCATCAGCTTGGGTGCTCCATCTACATTGCCGCCCCCAAGTTCTGCAGGTTTGTTCTTAAGTTGAATGTGTATGTAAGTCGGAACAGGTGCATTTTCATCAGCTTGGGTGCTCCGTCTACATTGCCGTCCCCAAGTTCTGCAGGTTTGTTCTTAAGTTGAATGTGTATGTAAGTCGGAACAGGTGCATTTTCATCAGCTTGGGTGCTCCATCTACATTGCCGTCCTCAAGTTCTGCAGGTTTGTTCTTAAGTTGAATGTGTATGTAAGTCAGAACAGGTGCATTTTCATCAGCTTGGGTGCTCCGTCTACATTGCCGCCCCCAAGTTCTGCAGGTTTGTTCTTAAGTTGAATGTGTATGTAAGTCGGAACAGGTGCATTTTCATCAGCTTGGGTGCTCCATCTACATTGCCGTCCCCAAGTTCTGCAGGTTTGTTCTTAAGTTGAATGTGTATGTAAGTCGGAACAGGTGCATTTTCATCAGCTTGGGTGCTCCATCTACATTGCCGTCCTCAAGTTCTGCAGGTTTGTTCTTAAGTTGAATGTGTATGTAAGTCAGAACAGGTGCATTTTTAACAGGTGCTTAAGCGGCTCAGGGGGAAAAATAAAGGGCCCGAGGCCAGGAATTGTGGGAGTTGAAGTCCAAAACACCTGGAAGGAGGGCCAAAGTTTGCCCATGCCTGGGCTAGCCATTAGGAAACCCTGAAGCAGTCTTTCTGACTTTTCCTCTTAAGGGTTTTTCCACTCATATCATTTCGGTTGAGGAAACAGGAAATGAAAGCCCAGCACTTTCACCAAAGGAAAAAGCCACATTTGGATGGGAAAAAGCCATTTGCAAACTAAGTCAGAAAGCGGGAAGGGTAAGTCATTCCTCCTTCAAGTGGAAGTTGAGCATGTTTGCAACGGGATCTCATTGCCATTGCTTTTAACAAGTTAAATACCCTAATATTTGAAGTCAGCTTTAGAACAATTAGTTAGTTAGTTAGTCTAAGCATCTATTCCTTCCAGAATGCAAAGTCTGCAGTAGCATAATTCCAACAGGCACAAAACAACCGTAATTTGTTGAAGTCGTTCGAACAAAGGAACAAAATAGTTTCTCCAAGTCTCTTCTTTCAGGCTTATCAGTTGTGAAAACATAGTAGGGAGAGTGTGTGTGCATGTGTGTGTGTGTTTGTGTATAATAGAAAATGCCCAAATCTTGTATGTTGTAGCTACACAAGTTGTGTGTATGTGTGTATATATGTATGTGTTTGTGTAAGTATGTATGTGTGTGTGTGTATACATACACACACACAAATATAGGAAAATATCCAAATCTTGTATGTTGCAACCAGTGTGTGTGTGTGTGTGTGTATAAGTATGTATAGACATATATATATATACATACATACATACATAACACCCTGTGTTAGACGGGGTTACACTCCCCCTGAAGACGCAGGTTCGCAGCTTGGGAGTGATCCTGGACTCATCGCTGAGCCTGGAACCCCAGGTCTCGGCGGTGGCTGGGAGAGCTTTTGCACAATTAAAACTTGTGCGCCAGCTGCGCCCATATCTTGGGAAGTCGGATCTGGCCACGGTGGTCCACGCTCTTGTTACATCCCGGATAGATTACTGCAACGCACTCTACGTGGGGTTGCCTTTGAAGACTGTTCGGAAACTTCAATTAGTCCAGCGGGAGGCAGCCAGACTGCTCACTGGAGCGTCATACAGGGAGCATACCACCCCCCTGTTATGTCAGCTCCACTGGCTGCCGATCCAGTTCCGAGCACAATTCAAAGTGCTGGTTTTGACCTACAAAACCCTATACGGTTCCGGCCCAGCGTATCTGTCCGAACGCATCTCCCTTTACGTCCCATCTCGGAGTCTGAGATCCTCTGGGGAGGCCCTGCTCTCGGACCCCGCCTCTGTCACAAGTGAGATTGGCGGGGACGAGGAGCAGGGCCTTCTCAGTGGTGGCCCCTCACCTATGGAATTCACTCCCCGGGGAGATCAGATCAGCAACATCCCTCCTTTCATTCAGAAAGAAATTAAAGACGTGGATGTGGGACCAGGCGTTTGGGCACTCTGGCAGATGAATAAGGGACTGTGACGATGGATAGGAATTGGACAATGGTGGAACGAAATATGAACTCTGAGTTGGTGAACGCTGTGTCTGAGATTGGCTATCGATTGTGTGATATATTGTTTTTAAGTGTTTTAATTGTTGACCATTTAATTGCTGGTTTTATATGTTATTGTATTTGTGTAGGCACCAAGATGTGCCTTTTGTAAGCTGCCCTGAGTCCCCCCTCGGGGGTTGAGAAGGGCGGGGTATAAGTACATGAAATAAATAAATAAATAAATAAATAAATAAATAAATAAATACACATATATAGGAAAGTATCCAAATCTTGTATGTTGCAACCAGTGTGTGAGTGTGTATGTATGAGTATGTATATATATGTCTATACATACATACACACACACAGAGGAAAGTATCCAAATCTTGCATGTTGCAGCCAGTGTGTGAGTGTGTGTATGTATAGACATATATATACATACACACACACATATATATAGGAAAGTATCCAAATCTTGTATGTTGCAGCCAGTGTGTGTGTATGTATAGATACACACACACACACACAAAGGAAAGTATCCAAATCTTGCATGTTGCAGCCAGTGTGTGTGTGTATGTATGGATACACACACACACACACAAAGGAAAGTATCCAAATCTTGTATGTTGCAGCCAGTGTGTGTGTATGTATAGATACACACACACACACACAAAGGAAAGTATCCAAATCTTGTATGTTGCAGCCAGTGTGTGTGTATGTATAGATACACACACACACACACAAAGGAAAGTATCCAAATCTTGCATGTTGCAGCCAGTGTGTGTGTGTATGTATGTATATGTTTGTGTGTGTGTGTATGTATATATATATATGTGTGTGTGTGTGTGTGTGTGTGTGTATATATATATAGAGAGAGAGGGAAATGTCCAAATCTTTTATGTTGCAGCTGTACAATCCATTTTCTACTTTCAAGTTACCTGTCTACTTATGGTGACACCATCAATTTCATAGTTTTTCAAAGCAAGGAATGGTCAGAGGTGGTTTTTCAAGCTCCTTCCTCTGAACTATAGCTTGCAGCAGCCTGTATTTCTTGTTGGCCTCCCATCCAAGTGCTGACTGGGTAAGACCCTGCTTAGCATGCAAATTCAGAAGGGATCTGGTACCTTTCTGTCCCTTATTCTCAAGGGCGCTTGCCTTCTGGCTGCAGTTTGAGCCCACCAAATAAATGGCAGGCCTCTGGACTAAAGGCATTTGGAAAATAGTTCCTGAGAAACTCAGGAGACTTACCCAACCGTCTCTGTGCTATAAAACAGGTTCGGACAAATGGCTGGGAAGGCCAAATTCGCATGAAATAACTCAAATTCTCCCCCTCCCTCACCAGTAAGCTGAATCATACACAGCCCATAAAGAGCAAAGCTGCTATTAACCTAATTGGGGGGAAAGAAAGAAAGAAGACAGACAAGTGTGACAGAAATGAATGGCATTTATTGTTTTTAGAAGGGGGATATTGCAAACTTTGTGGGGAGGAGGAGGGGAATAGAACCTATATTCCTTCCAAGTGCAAATGTCTTGTGCCTCTTTCGGGCAGGACAGCTGTTGCCCGAAGCCTCTTTCACAATCTTCCGCCTAAGTGATATGTGTTTGTTCCTCTTTCACTTCAGGCAGAACCAGGAAGCCCTGCCTTGCAGGAACCCGAAATGCAGCTCTGCGTGGAAAAGAACCGGCCTTAAATGATGAAAGTTGGAAGATTCAGAAGCATTGCTGCTCCCTGCTCAACGAAGCATCAGAAACGCGGCTTTGGGTGGAAGAGAACCGGCCTTAAATGATTGACTTGGAAGCATCGCTGCACCATGGCGGAGAAGTCAAAAGACGACACCTTGCAAGAGGAGCGTCTGAAAATGGCCGTGGACATGGCACCGCGTGCCCAAGAGGAAGCCTTCAAGGCTCCGGCCGTCGGAAGCCAGTCTCCAAGTCTTAGCATCCGCGGAGGGACCCCGACTCTCCGCCACAGGCAGCCGTCCAATTTCAATCGGAGTCTGGGCCGGTCCAGCAGGCGTTCTGGCCACTGGATGTCATCAGGGATGGACACAGCGAGGCTCTCAATGGGCTGGGGCAGCACCAGGAGGAAAGGGCTGAAGGAGATCCTCCTGCAGAGCAGCCAAGCCAAACCCGCGTGGCTGTCGGCTTCTCGAAATGAGAACGGTGGTGACGTCGATGCGGAGGAACTCAGCCCCGAGGACCTCTCCTTGGCTCTGGACCCCTTGGAGCACGAGTGGATGCTGACGGTGGCCCACGGGGACATCGAGAACGCCCTCCACTTGCTGGAGAAAGACCCCAGTTTGCTCATAAGGAAGGACTTTGTGACGGGCTTCACCGTCCTGCATTGGCTGGCCAAACACGGTCAGCATGAGGACTTGATCCAGGTGGTGTCCTTTGCGGAGAGGAACCATTGCCCGGTCGACATCAATGTCTTGACGGCCAGCGGAAGGCTCACTCCGCTGCACTTGGCCGCACTTCAGGGCCGCGAGATGGTCATGAAGGTGTTGGTAGGGGCCTTTGGGGCCGATGTGGGCCTCCGGGACCACAACGGGCGCAAGGCCTGGCAGTGCCTCCGAGCCGATGCTCCCAGGGAGCTGAAGGAGCTCTTGGGTGCCAGCGAGGAAGACTTGGCCACCGAAGCCAGAGGCAACGTCAACAACAACAATTGCGTCCCGTCGAGGCGAGGCGGCCTCGGGAACGCATTGAAAGTGGGCAGCAAGGAACCACAAAGCCAGAGAGTGGCTCCCAGGCTCTCTTATTTCCGGAACGTGTTCAAGCAAGCGGTCGCATTCTTCCAGGAGCTTTAGACATCAACTCAGTGACCTGTGTTACCTGTGAGCAGTTTCCAACACTATCCATCATTGTACGATGGGATGAAAGCGGTTGGAAACTAGAAGTTGCCTAATGGGACCTTGAAATGGCCTCCAAACATTGCTCCATTGTATGGCTACTACTGGAAACTCGGAAGTTGCCTAACAGGATTGATATTGCCTCCAAACATTGCTCCGTCGTACCACTACTATTGGAAACTCTGAAGTTGCTTAACTGGATCAATATTACCTCCAAACAATGCTCCCAAAAACCTTCCATTGGCCAGATCCTTCATTTCCAAGGAAACAACATGGAGGAGAGTTGGCATGGCTAGGTTTGCAAACTGGAACAAGTCTTCCATCTCTCTTTGCTTCCTACACGGAAGTGTGTAAGTAGGATTGTTTATGTACTGTCCTGCAAAAGTGTGAAATTCTGCCCTAAGGGGGAAACTCTGCAACCCACATGCATTACTCTCAAACAGGAAAAACTGCCTATACATAGCCAAATAAGAACAAATGGCAAAAAGAAGGAATTACTCAATGCCATTTGTTCTTATTTGGTGATGAATCCTAAGTGTCAATATGTCACATGGATCACTAAAACCCCTTCTCTCTGATCCTTGAAAATGTTCAGACGTCGGTTTTGCATTGGAGAGTTGGGCGAATATGGTGTGCAGTAAAACATACAGTAGAGTCTCACTTGTCTGACCTTCTGTCTTATCCGACGCCCCCTTTTCCTCCAGCATTTCCCCTTCAATTAAAGGAATGCTCCCCAACTCTCTCTCCATTCCCAATAAGTGAAAAAGGCAATACAAGGAGAGAGGAAAAGGGGAAAAGAGGCAGGACCAGAAGTGGAAGCATCCTCTCTCCTTCCCTCCGTGATTTTCACACTCCCCTTCCACACCTTAATCTTAATTGGAGCATAAAAATCCCTAGAGACCGATCCTTAGTTGGTCTATTCTGTTTCCTGTATAGAGCTCCTTTGCTGGACCCCTCCTTTTTTCTGCCACAGAGTTACTGAGAACAATGGCTTGGGACATTGTCTGGTAATCCTAGGCCAAGCAATCCAAAATAGGCATTCTTAGCTGCTGCATTTAGCAGTATTATTATATCAACAGTCCAAAGGACAACAGAAGCTTTTGGCCAGCCTACGCTTCACAGGAGAGAAGATTAAGACAGCACTTCCTGCTGGGCCCCTCTAGCCCCAAGGCGTTACCTTGCCTTAACTTTCGAGTCCATGGTATTAGTATTCTAGGTGTCTAGCACCTTGTCAGATGGCTAACAGTAGGACACTCCATATTATCCAACATTTTCATTTATCCGACGTTCTGCCGGCCCGTTTATGGCAGATAAGTGAGACTCTACTGTACTACCAAACACATGGAAATCAAAATGTGTTTGGTAGTGAGATTTCAAAATGAAAGCTATGCTTCTCAGGGATGCTTCAATGTGGTAGGATGGTGATTCAAAGCAGAGGCGGATTCCGCCTTGAAGTCGGTTGACGAACTGTCAAGATAGGCATTGAAATAGTCACCAAATCTTGTGTGGCATCAAGCACTTATTTCTTATTATAAGGCAACCCACTCTTCTTTCTTTTTCCCCCCGGATGCAATTGGGGAAGTACGACTTGTTCTGGGCTATGAAAAAGGAAATGATTTCAGCACTCCTTGTTTAAAAAGTTTCTCAACGCCATAAGAACCTTTGCAGTTCCAAATAAAACAAAAACCTTGATGGTGGAGAAGCAAAGCTGTGTGTCTGCTCTGATTCCCATCAGATTTGTTTGCAGAGGTGATGTTTTTGGAGGGGAATAAAGAGCTCCAGCATAACAAAAGAGCCAGAGTATTGTAACATTTAATATGGGATGTGTTCCTCCATTCGTTAATCCTCTAACATTGCAAATACACAATTGTTACCTTCCATAGAAACCAGAGAACCATTCCATAGTTCCAACAGTACAATCTTATTTACCGAGCTTAATAACACTGCTAGATACGTCTCTCTTGGTTGCAATTCCTCCCTCCGGTTCAGCCAATGGCAACCCTTTCCTTTTTGGATCGAGTGCCAAGCCTGAAACACAAAAGAGGCCCGGCAAGAGTCCTTTCAGGTAGAAAAGGGAAGGGAGATTATTACAGCTATACACACCAAAGACCAAAGCAAACAATGAGGAGCCAATGCGCCGAAAAGTAAATACACTTTCTTGCCTTGTTTCTCGTGTCCATGACAAACAACTCTTTACAAACTTGGTAAGGATATACTGTCAAAACATTCCTGTAGACTCCTGCTAAAATTGCAAGGAGCCATCATTTAGATTTCAAAATATTAACTTGAGTTCTATGCAGATATTAAAGGGAGGATTCAAAGAAGCCCCACCAATTGACTTCTGCATAAGTCTCTATCAGGAGCTCCTGGTAACACAGCAGGTTAAAACAGCTGAGCTGCTGAACTTGCTGACCAAAGGGTTGGCGGTTTGAATCAGAGGAGCGGGGTGAGCTCCCGCTATCCTTACCAAACTACACATCACAGGTTCCTATAGCATTATTACTATTATTAGCATTATTACTATTATTACAGAGCACATTATTAGTATAAAATACTAGCCGTCCCATCACACGCTGCTGTAGCCCAGTCTTGTTTTGTGTCTGAATTGTGTGTGTGTATATATATATGCGTGTTTTGTGTATATATGTTTTTCACTGTTTTTGAGTGATGGTCACTCATTGCCGAGAGGTGTGTTGTGTCCAAATTTGGTGTCAATTCGTCCAGTGGTTTTTGAGTAATGTTAATCCCACAAACGAAAATTACATTTTAATTTATATAATTATATTATATAAGGTCCCTTGGTGCAGTGGGTTAAACCGCTGAGCTGCAGAACTTGCTGACCAATAGGTTGGCAGTTCGAATCCAGGTAGCAGGGTGAGCTCCCGCAGTTAGCCCCAGCTCCTGTGAGATCAATAGGTACTGCTACAGTGGGAACGGTGCTCCATGCAGTCATGCTGGCCACATAGCCTAGGTGGTGCCTATGGACAACACTGACTCTTCAGCTTAGAAATGGAGATGAGCACAAACCCAGAGTCAGACACAACTAAACTTAATATCAAGGGGAAACCTTTACCTTTAAGTCTCTACCAAGAGAGAAAATGTGTCATGTAAATAAATGTAATAATAATAATAATACTGTAGTTGTGATAGAGCTCGTGTTTTGAACGTAAAGGATCTCAAGGTCCTTTTGTCTCTTGCTAAAAAGTCCCACTAATTGGTTTTCGGGAAAGCAAGCTTTGCGGAGATCCTGGAGGGCCATTGCCCACTAAACTACCATACCTTATATTTCCCACTAAACTACAATATCTGAAATACCTGGACTGTAAGGGATGTTTGCCGTATTTTCCTAGTAGCCCAGCTTCCTTTTCAATGTAGCGATTCCACTACTGAAACATGTTGCTCCTGAAAATGTTTATTTCCTGTTTAATTGTGCAGTTATTTATTTATTTTATTTACAGCATTTCTATGCTGCCCTTCTCACCCCGAAGGGGACTCAGAGCGGCTTACAAGATATATTCTCATACAATATATTATATTTTTAGCATAGTACAGTATCAGTATTATATGTTACTATATTGCACTATACCATTATATTGCAATATTATTAGTAATATTACATGTAATGTAAATATATAATTATAATATTGTATTATTATTACTAGTACTATATTGTATTATATTATAATATTATAAATATGTATATACAATATAATATAATATATTATTAGTCCTTACTTTGGAACTAGTTGTTTCCAGCTCAGAAACTTTCTTTTTGTGGCTGCCGAAATGGGTTGAGATATTTATAGAAAAACTATAGTAAAATGATGATGTTCATAGAATCCTAGAATCCTAGAGTTGGAAGAGACCTCCTGGGCCATCATCCAGTCCAATCCCATTCTGCCAAGAAGCAGGAATATTGCATTCAAATCACCCCCGACAGATGGCCATCCAGCCCCTGTTTAAAAGCTTCCAAAGAAGGAGCCTCCACCACACTCCGGGGCAGAGAGTTCCACTGCTGAACGGCTCTCACAGTCAGGAAGTTCTTCCTCATGTTCCTCCCACAAAAACAAAGCGTTTCCAGTTTAATAAACTTTCCCCAAGTTTTTATGATAGAACCAATTAGAAAATGACATTTAGAATCCAGGAACAAAAATTGTGTTGCATAGTGTTGACTCTGCATCATTTTTAAAGGGAAGGGAAGCAAAACCAACACTTCCTCTTTTCACAATGTGAGCATACACAAATGCACAGCAAAGCTACCTCCCTTTCTCACCATTGTGTTACTTTATTTCTTGCTTTTTAAGGCCTACAGCCCATCTCCCTTACTTTGCCCTTACTTCTGCTCACCTTTCCTATCTACCTGTGATTTTTTGCCTCATTTCAAGCCATTTTCCCACAAAAGTACAGTTGGGAGACTCAACTTTGAGGGAATTTATGTCGAATTTGCAACCGTTCGCCTTTCCTTTGTCTGGCTGCCAACTCTCCAGCGTAGAGCCGGCGTAGGCAGGAAACCCAAGCAGGAGCCGCTCATTTGCGAGAGTGCGCTTTATCTCATGTTTATTAATGAGCCTCTTTCTTCACGGGGGTATGGATGGGAGGCTTGGGAACCGAAGGACAGAAAACGCCAAACACAAAGGTCCCCATTATTTGATTTTAATTCTCAGGGGGAAAAAAACCCTCAAAAAGTTTCAGGAAAGAAAGGAAAACTGCACAATATGTTGACGGCGTTCAGCCCTGAAAAATAAGAGCTGTGGCGGATTGGTCGAAAGGGGCCATTTCTGGGGCTTTGGTGCTCCTCACAGGCCCAGCTTGGTCCTCCTCCAGTGCCTCCGCTTGGAGTTGTACCTGGAACAAAAGGGGCGGCATTAGTACGCAAGGCACGGCCTGGCAGACCTGAAAACCAGCCCCAACCAAGCCAAGAGGAACCCCGCTTGGAATTCATGCGCGGCACCCATTCTTTACAAAGGGCTGCGAGCCAAGCAAGGGTGGCTTTCCCACACCATTCCCCCCTCTCTCCCTCCAGCGCATTTCTACCAAACATCTTATGTTTCCAAGAATGGCTCTTCTGCTGGGGTGGAAAGAGAAACGTCAGCACGCAAGGAAGCTTTGGCATACTATTTTAACAAAAGTAGCTCTTCCAGACTGCGAAGCCGCGTCCCCACCGCTCGTTACTACAATTCGAAGCCGTTCACTTGCTGCCACCAAAATATGTGAAGTAGTCTCCAAAAATAAAATAATGGCGTGAAATCCCAACTAAATAGGATCACCACACAAATGTAATGAGAATTTGAGACTTCTAGGTTAAGCTGCCACCCTAATATAAAGAGATATTGGTAATATAATCTCTGTTTCTTCTTATCTGGGTTGTGAGGCCACTTTGGTAGTGTGGATTGTGCAAAACGTTGAAATCAATGGATGAGGCAGGTTTTAAAACACAAAGAGAACAGATTTATTGTCAGAGTGTAACTGTTGCAATATTAACTGTTGAACTTGGCACAAGCTTGATGGTTACAAATATGGCTTAGTTGAGATACATTCAGGTGATGTTACAATTCTTTGACTTCTTCTACAATGAGGTGCTTTAATATTTCAGTTCCCTATTGTGAATATTTACAACTGTTTGTCCTACACAGGATCAAACTAGCGATCTCCAGCCATTCACCACTGGGATCCCTAAACCTCTTTCTTGTTAGATTCTTTCTTTACTCAAGCAATCTAACGAGGTTTCACCTCCAGCTTCCTAGCTGGAATAATATTCACAAATCCTAAGAACTGGCTGAATTTACACTACACCACAGAGCCTCAACTGACTCTGCCCCTCAGGGTTTCATTCCCCTGACTGAACTATTATCCCAGAGTCCCCTTTGACTCTGTCCTTCAGGGTCTCATCCGCCTGACTGATTTTAAACTGTCGTTTTCAAACCTTTCCTACTTAAGCTCCGCCCACCTCCTCTGGCCTGTCACCATGGCAACCTATCTCTCTCAGCTAGGTCATGGCTACAATGTAAAGCATAAACACAGTTTAAAACACAGTTTAATGAACACTTCTCTACACCTTCCCCCCCAGAAAAAGTATTTTTGCACCATTCTCAGTCCTAGAATTGGCAAAAATAACTTCACATATTACTTAACAATAAATACATATACATAACATTCCTGAA